AAAATATCCTGTACATTTCAGAACTCAAAACTTCCTCATTAGTCCAATAACAGCTTTTAATGAAACCAAGCTCCCAAAACGACTAGTTTTGGACTTTGTCACAGTATGACATCATTGCGTGCTGAAAGACCACCTCTGCAGAAGAAGATCAACGCCTACTTCTACATCATGATGTTTTGCAGTGCCAAATTGTGGAAAAACAGTCAATGCATTGCCTTCCTTGTGATCGTAACATTAAGCAAGCAAGGGAGAACTTTAGCACAGTTCCACTTCGGTATGAAAGCTTGTTTCCGCCACAGAATAAAACATTTTAAAAGATAATTGCGACTTTATAACACCCAGTTGCGAGTTTATATCTTGCAATTCTGACTTTATAACAAGCAATTGTGAGGTTATTTCAAAAATTAATCTTTTCTCAGAATTGTGAGATATAAACTCACAATTGTGTGTTGTAAACATGCAATTCTGAGAAAAAGTCCGAATTGTGAGTTTATATCTCACAATTTTGACATTATTACTCACAATTGGGACTTTATATCACGCAATTCTGACTTTATAACTCGCAATTATGACTATATCACGCAATTGTGACTTTATAACTCGCAATTGTGAGATAAAAAGTCAGAATTGCGAGATATAAACTTGCAATTGTGAGATGAAAAGGCAGAATTGGGAAATAAAAAGTCGCAATTACCTTTTTTTATTTTTTATTCCGTGGACAAAATAAAGCTTCCATACATCAGTAATACACTGTGCGTTTATTTGCTTCATTTTACGTCAGATTAATTTTTAAACAAGTCACAGTTCGACGCAGGCTTTTTAGAGAGACTGAAAATAAAAGTTGATACAGTACCGACTATTGGATCCAACAGTAATGTCACAACACAAGTGTGAGTAACAATGATTTTACCATGTCTCACTATTGCTTTGTCTGTTACCAGAGCCAATGATTTTGTCTGAGCTACAGTATGAGATTTTGTCTGAACTATGAAAATGTTTGATTCACTTTTTAGGCTGCTCTGCCTCAGCAGTCTAACAGAGGGGTCTGTTGAGACATGGCTGGTCAATATCAAAATGATCAAGATGGCCATTAAAATCAAAGAAGACGGGTCTTTTTGAATTGAAAATATGCTTTTATGGTTCATGTAATTCATAACTGAATGTGACGAGACAAGAAACATTAGCATTTTTGACATATTAGACATTTTAAAATAAAAAATATTTTAAAATCACATTTTAAAATAAAATATTATTTGCAAACAATTGAAATTGATTACTACATAACTACAATTAGATAGACTTCTTTTGCCATTCTTTGTTCCCTTAAATCCCTTTTAATTCATAAATTATTGAATTCCTCACACACACACACAGAAAAGTGAAACACCGTCTATGGCCCCTTTAACTCACCACTAGATGGCATCAGAGTCATATATATTACAAGACCTGTGCATTTAAGTGATATTTGCCCAATGACAAAAGGTGGCCCACGGTAAAAAGGATTTTAGTGTGAAAACTGAAAATAGATCCTTAAAACTGATATATTTACACCCAATGGAGAAAGAGCATCTGTATCTAGGAAACAGTTGGTCAATAATAGTAGCTGCCCGATAATGAGAACTGGCCAGCTGCCTCAGTTCTTGCTTTTTTAAAGCTGCGGTCCGCAGTTTTTCCTCTTTGTCGCCATCTCGGTTCGAAATCTACAATTGCAGTTATTCGCGGAATTATCAACTTTACGTGAGTTGTACCTCGGCACGGCACAGCGCGGATGAATCCAATGTTTTGAGGAGAATGTGCAGCTGTCAGTCACCGCGCCAGTGTGGATACTGGCATTCAGAATCACAGATTCTACTTTTTGGAAGTATGACCAACATAAACATTTTCACCGGAAAATGTCACCTGAACAAGTAACATCCACTTTTGTTCTGACCAAGGGGAAAAAAGCATTGCAGTAAATCGCGCTGATTAAATCTAACGATCGCTTATCATATCACGTCAAACCGTGCAAATTATTCTTTGCTCTCAAATTGTTAATGTTAACAACATCAGCATTACGTGACTACATTTAATGCCCTTCCGATATTATCCTTGTTTTCGCATGGGCCGGTTGCAGTCTCTTATTTTCTGTAGCCACTCCGAAGTCCGAACGAAGACTTATGCATTTTACAGCGGGTGAATCTCTAGTTGTCACTGCCGTTTAAACCTTTCTGGATCCGCCATCAAATTGATAAGTTTAATTATATCAAGTGCTGTGAGAAAAGGCTATAAATCTCCAACATCCTCACACACAATATAGCCTACTAGCCAAGACTCCTTCTTTATGTGTGTTCAGATGTGACGTAATGATGCTAAGACATGCTCGAATCTCCCACGGAAATCCACCAGTACCACTGGAGTTAAAAACATATTACAAGCCTACCGTTTTGAATCGAGCTAAGGCAAGTAGAGAGTTTTGAACACATATTGAACACAATATTATTTTGGATCATTTTTAACCCAAAAAAGGTACGGACTGGAGCTTTAAATTGATTTCCAGGGGATTTTTTTTCTGACCTTATTATGCAGATTGTCCCCTTTTCCAAATTAGGGCAATTAGGGACGCAGGGCCTCCATTTCCTAAGTTGGGCCGCAGATCCTAACCAGTTTCAATAAAAAAAGGTGCCTTCATAGTATTGGGAAACTGCTTTCAGACACTCTTCTATCTTGAAGAGAACAAAAGCATGGCTGTGTCCAAAATTGCAAACTCTCTTGAGTACTTATTTTGAATTAAGTATTTACTTCATAAAAAATGACGGTCTACTATGAATGTGTAGTGTGAATGTAATCTGGACGTTTTAGGCCTACATTCACCATGTAACCTAACAGCGTCAGTTACGTCACTTCACTGCCATTCACGAATCCTCTCCTGTGGCCTCATGGGATAGTAAAGTGTCCATCGTACACTTCAGAACCTCACTGGAAGAAGTACTGTAGGTCATCCAGGTACTTTTTGCCTACTCTTTCATGAGTACTGTGAATTTGGACATTCTTCACATACTGTGTTTCACCTCTAATATAGGAAGTATGCTGTTTCGGATGCAGCCCATGTGTTAAAATTGTGCCTTAAAATGATTGTTGTGAAAGAGAGACATCAAGTGGTGAGACTTGTACTCAAAAAAACTATCCTGAATCTGTTCTCCCCCAGTGTTCACTCTCAGAGTACAACAGTTACCTACATTTGATGTGTTTACATCCCAATTTTAATTTCCATGTTATGCTGTGTAATAGATGATCAGTCACCAACACCTGGCATTACAGAAAAGTGTGGCATTGAATTGTTATGAGTGAAGCAGGATGACAGTACGGTATAAACAGACCCAGAAATACTTGCACTCTCAAGATGTTTAAATGTATTTGCATTATATAATAATATCAAACAAAAAACCCTTAAGTGTCACCGGCCCACCGGTGGGCCCAAATCCATTACATTTTTAAAACAGTAATATCCTATACTAAACCTAAACTAATCTTGACAAACTATATATCATTTGAAAGCTTACAATCTCTAGTTTCCATATTTGGTGATTGATTTTCAAAATGAATTACAGAGCAGCCATAATTTATCAATTTGCAACAAGAATATTTTCATACTCCTAAGGCGTGTTTAGACCTTTATTTTGAAATAGTGGTGAACATGAAAAATCATGAAAGAAGGGTAGAAACCCCAGTTTGTTTTCATGCTAAGAGTCAAAAAGATAGCATCTATTCAATTATTTTAGAAAAAAAGGTCTGAAAATTGTTTAAATATAAAGAAAAAAATTATAGATTCACCATTTGTGAGGTGGCAGGAAGCTATAACGCACATACTTGTTCTTTTTGTGTTTCTTAGAGGTTGAATTCATATCAAAATCTGCCAAACTTCTCATATTACTTCTGAATAGGATGTCTACTTCATAAATTGTATGAAAATTGTGAAAATAATGGTTCATATCACTCAAAACACATGTGGAAATGGAGGCGCCCTAATATGGGCAGTAATGGAGTCTGGTTGTCATCTAGTGAAAAAGTTTGGTACTGCGCCCAAACAAAATCTTACTGAAAGCTCATTTTTTGAGATATCAACCTAAAATTTGAAACACAACTTGTTCAGATTTTTGACTTTGATTTTTTTTTTTGCAGTTTTAGAGTCTCCCAGGTTTTGAAAATATATATTTTATATAAAATATAAATATAATTAAATTTTTTACATTATACATTTTCATAAACTCAAACTTCTATAACTTTTTTTCTGTTTCACTTTCTTAATTTATTTCACTTCTACAAAAATCTGCCAAATTTCTTCTTTAAAACGAGACCAATCTTACGTCTATATTCCAAAGCATTCTTGAATTACAACCTTTTAAGTTTGAAATGTGCATTTTCATGTATATTCAAAAAAAGGGGGGTGACACTTAAAGGGTTAATTTATTTTAGATACATTTAGCACAACCCAATTATTTGTATATAGTATAGATCAATGGCACAAACACACAATTCAAGCAAAAAAAAAAAAAGAAAAAAAAAAGTTTGTTAGGTTTCAAATTATAACACAATGAATGTATATTTTTCAAAATTAAGACAAAATGTCAGTTGTCAGAGGATCATGTTCATACAGCAGTTCTGAATTGTGTTTCCTCTGAACCACAGAGAACTTGAGGGGAACTGACTCCATACATCCACTAAAAAATAACCAAGTTATTTCTGCCAAAATATCAAGCCTCGTTTGTTTGCAAATGCGACTTTATATATATATATACTCTTTGGCGCCATGCACTGTATATTTTGGATGGTATAAATAGCTGTTAATCGCTTCTATCTAATGAATGTACCCATCATATTATACTTTGTATTATATATTATTCAACAAACAGACTTTTGTGTTTTATTGCTTTACTGATCATGGTATTTTGAGATTTGCAATGATTTGATGTCACAGAATGCACAGTCATGTTCCATTTTATAAGAAACAAACCCTGATGTATTCGCAAGGCTTTCTTCCAGACAGTTCCCTCTCAGTACAGGTTGTTGAGCACATAGCTAGCGATGTATTTGACAGCCAGCATGGTCTCCTCACAAGTGGGCTTGATCTGGGACTCGGGCAGCAGGAACCCGTAGCGTCCTTCGTCACGCAGCTCAAAGGTGTATGAATACTTCACACCCAGGTCATAAGCCCAGTCATCAGAGCCACCAGCAGCCGGGTCTGCAGTGACAAAGCTCATGTTTAGGGAAGCACACGTCAGCAAAAATGCATAACACTTTATTTTGAGGGTCCCTTTTGAACATTTTGTTGACTATAAGTAACTTTGCAACTACATGTCAACTAACTCTCATTAGAGTATCAGTAGACTGTCTGCTCAATATCTGCTTACTCTTTATTGTGAAGGTCCTCCAACAGACATTCTGACTATACGTAACTTTGCAACTACATGTCAACTTATTCTAACCCTAATCCTACCAGTCTACTAATACTCTACTAATACTCCACTAATACTCTAATGAGAGTTAGTAGACATGTAAGTGCAACGTTACTTATAGTCAACAGAATGTTTTAAAGGGACCATCAAAATAATGTGAAACCCAAAAATCTGCTCACTACCTGCAAAATGGCTCCCGATCTGAAACAATGTTTTCTTGGTCAAACTGTATATGTAGTACATAGCACTCGCAGATTGTAGGCTACACCATGAGTGTATTTTTTAAATTTGATTTACTATATAATGTATAGGCATAATAATATAAATATTTTTATAAAACATTAAAAAAATATATAATAATAGAATATATTATTAATAGAATATATAAGTTAAAAATTAATATAGCTTGTTCAAATAGAGCACTCGTGCTACATATAGCTGGACGGTTTGATTTAATCTGAAATTATACTTTGTATGAACAGTTTAAGAAGCACTGTTTTAAGTTATGTTAGAGGTTAAAAGATTAATAATGTATGAATATGACTACAATCTCTTTGAAAACACTGAAATTCCCTGTTACAAAACCTAGTGAGCTGGGTATAGTTACAATATAGTTTATAGCTTCATTACAAATTATTTATCTCATATTTATGTGCTTTGTATTTATGCTTATAGCTTGTGGGATGACATTTTTACAGGCCAAAAACACTAACACGTTAGCAGGTGATTTTGCCAGGACAGACATGTTTGTGGATCAACATATTTTGTTGATCGTCCTAACCATATCCCTCCCCCAAAACCTAACCCTACCCATAAGTTATCCCTAAACTCAGAGAGAAACAATAGTTGGTCACAGAATATTTTCTCCAAAAGTCAATAGGAAAATCCTAGCTTAGCATTGTTAGCTTAGCAACAAGCTAACATATTTTGGAATCAACTGTGAATTGTGAGGTCCCTTTCAAGTTAGAAGATGCCTAGACAAATCTACATTCACATCATTTGTGTTAGATAGATGCCTAGGTGGAAGCAGGCAGCTCACTTCATAGGTTTTGGATCAGAGCTTTTATCTTGGACTCTTTATACTCACAGATGGTCGTAGCACCAGGGCCGCTAGTGTATTTGGTTCCGTACAGGGTGCGCAAAGCTGCAATAGCTCCCTGAGACACACTCAGCTACAAAGAAAGATAAGGCTCAGTTAAGTTAAGGCTCAGGTCAGTCAAACAAATTCTCACATTATATGAACATTTAACGCATGTGTGTAAGTGTTTATGAACAGGTACCAGCTCTGAGTGGTCAGCAGCCAGGCCATATTTGTAGGAATAGGGGAAGAGGAGCAGCTGGGAATATGAGTGGACAGTCAGGTAGGCCTTGATGATAGACTTGTTGGTGCGGATAAAGTTGGCCAAATTCTTGGACTCAATCTCAGACTCTGGGCTGCTTCCACAGTAGGTATCACTGCAAGGGTTGCTGGAAGCTCCAGTGGCTGGAACGTTAACGGCATACTTTGTGTAAGGAATAATTGACAACGGCTGTGGAATTATTAGAAAAATAATGATCACCCGAGGTGATTTCTGACAATTTAATCGAGTCAATTATTCTGTTTATACTATAGTTACCACGCATCAAGACATTGTTCAGATGTTTTATTTCAAGATATTTGTCAGGTTTTTGTCTGCTCTTCTGTTTAGGACTAATTTATATCTCGTCCCAAGCCATCTTGGACCAGTGTGGTTTGGTGCAGGTCTGGCTGGCATAGCATTGCTTTTCACCAACAAACCTTTAGCTGGTGGTCAACCTGCATGTTCTTTGTGGGGAAAATGGTAGACCAAGGAAGCCTCACCCGTTAGGCTTGTTGAGCAATGTCATGTGGACTCTTGACTTGATTTCTAGTATACTATTAGTTAATCACAATAGCTTTAATAGGAAGCATGTACTCACTGCACCATCCAGCATCAAAGTTTCTGTTGGGGTCAGTACCGATACAGGTGGTGCCACTGTTCTTGGATCGAGTCTTTCTCCACATCCTGTTCTATATGAAAAAAAAAAAAAAAATTCAGATCATTATTTTTCACTCTTCATATACATATATATACACACTGTATATATAACAACACATCTCCTAAATCAATGAACACTCAATGTTTGGGCAGACACACTGTTTTAGAATTAATTGAAAGGATTAAAAATAAATTATACAAATCTAAAATGAAAGGTAACACTTTATTTTGATGGTCCCTTTTGAACATTCTGTTGACTCTAAGTAACTTTGCAACTAAATGTCAACTAACTCTCATTAGAGTATCAGTAGACTGTCTGCTCAATATCTGCTAACACTTTATTGTGAATGTCCTCCAAGAGACATTCTACAGACTATAAGTAATTTTGCAACTACATATCAACTTATTCTAACCCTAACCCTACCAGTCTACTAATACTCTACTAACACTCTAGTGAGAGTAAGGAGAGATGTTGGTGCAACGTTACTTATAGTCAACTGAACGTGTTAAAGGGACCATCCAAATAAAGTGAAACCGTTTTTTTTTTTTTTGCTAATTTTACCCATGGTGCTGTTCGGCACATTTTTAAATTTTTAATCGAAAATGTTATTTTTTTTTTCCTTCTTTGGAATGGTACGCAACTTGTTAAAGGATTTGGCACTTGCTATGTGATCACAAACACACACACACAATAAAACTAAAAAAGCCAAAAAAAACAAACAAAAAAATGTGTCGGTATATATATATATATATATATATATATATATATGTACTTAAGTTCTCGAGTGCCTTGGCTTGATACGTTTTTATGACGTTTTACTTTTTCCCCTTCAGCAATAATCTGTCAAGTGTTGTCTTTAAAAGAGACCAAACTTAAAGGGTTAGTTCACCCAAAAATGAAACTTCTGTCAGTAATTACTCATGTTGTTCCAACCCCGTAAGACTTTCGTTCATCTTCGAAACACAAATTAAGATATTTTTGATTAAATCTGAGAGCTCGATCCCTTTAGAAGCCTATGGAGGAGTGATCCAGCTCTCAGATTTCATCAAAAATATCTTAATTTGTGTTTCGAAGATGAACGAAAGTCTTACGGGGTTGGAACAACATGAGGGTGAGTAATTACTGACAGAATTTTCATTTTTGGGTGAACTATCCCTTTAAGTATGTACTCCAAAGCATTCAGAGTTATTACAGTGAGAAATTTTATTTTCAGGTCTATGCAAAAAGTAGCCTACATAAATGGATTATAACTAAATACTGCATAAATGTATTTCAGTACCATAAAATCCCCTACAAATACAAAATATTAAATAAAAACATTATACAACTAAAATAATGCATGCAATAGTCCTACATTAATTTCATTTAAAAAAATGTTTGTCTTTTAAATAACGTGATCCGCTGTGTTTCAATAAACGTCAAGATAATCATTGCGGAGAAAATCCTGAATAGTGATGCCCGAGTTGCATCTTTTGTGTTGGACAGGTAAGGGAATTAATTCAAAATGACTACGGTTAGTGTAATTTACATAAAACTCAAGACATGATCATGTTGATTGCTAGATAGTGAAAAATAATAGGTAGTGAAAAGTCTAACTCCATATTGCTATCGGCACTGAAAGTTGTAAATACAGGAAGAACGGAAATGCTAATGCTGGCTAAAGAAAAACTGATAAGTTTTCATTCATGAGACATACATTCAGTAACTTTTGTCTTGTAATGCCAGAGCATATATCAATTTACAGCACAATATGAATAATATATTTTGGTAACACAAATGTTATGAACCTACATTGGACCAGGTGTATTCATAGCCATCAATGTTGAAGACAGGCAGAACAAAGAAGTCCATTCTATCGAGAAGGTTGGTCATCTCAGGATCACTTCCATAGGTGGACACAGCCTGACCATGAGTACAATTAAGTTTAGATTCACAGATCTCTTGAAAGACATTCATTCAAAAACAAATGCTTTATCCTGTACCTCGTTTACGAACCACTGACAGAAAGCATGAGTGATCCATTCTCTGGCGTGAAAGCCACAGTCCATGAAGACAGCTGGCTTAGCAGAGCCTGTCTTCTTTCCAATCTGGAAGAGAAAAATGTCAAGTGTTTTTATTGTAAAAACTAACCATATTTAGTATTGGGTTTAACAATGTTTTCATATTGTAATCAATGCAGGTAATCTCAAAACTGTCATATATCAGGTGCTGACTTGATCATACCCTTGTGAAAAAGAAGTGAACTTAATTGTACAGAATGTGTACTTTAAATCTTAAAAAGTGCACTTTTTTTGATGCATTGCCGGGTTCGTCACTTATTGGGGTTCCTTGGAAACATTTCCGTTGTGTTCTGTTCTATTCGCACAGCGTGTTTTTGTATTTGGATGTGTTGGGAACTTTTGCAGCGTGTTTCTGTATTTGGTTGTGTTGTGAGTATTTGGAGCACACATTTGTTGTAAAACTGAAGAAGATGTTTTCTTAATTTGCGGGTGTTTTTTCTATTTGCATGTGTTTTCTTCAGTTTCAGCGCGTTGAGCTCTCTAGGTCACCGTAGTAAATACTTCTCAGGACATTCGGCAGTACACTTTAACAATATTCATAGACAGTAGAAGTTACTATGAAAATACCTATGGAGTACCTATAAAGATCTAAATCCTACTTAAGTGGGTAAAAAATGCACTCTAAAGGTCAGCATTTGAACAATTGCATTTAATATATTTATAATACATTTGCATGCAATTAATATGTAAACATTACTTTCAATTCACACTTATGTGTATTATTTGAAATCATTTCCATAATAAGAATTATTTTTAAAAGTGTGTTAAGTGTACTACTTTTTCAAGAGGGTATAACAGAGAGTTTTGTAAAGTGATCTAGGACTTTACCGTAAGAAGGTGCATGGGGCGTCCCTCATAAGTGTTCCCGATCACCTGCCTGCTGATCAGGTTAGAATTGGCAGAGCTGATGGAGATTGCCCAGTCATTAATCTGAAGGTGAGTAAAAAAAAAAAAAAATTACACACCTGGAGTGGAGAAAAAAAAAGTTTAAGGGGAATTATGAGTGCACTGGCAGTCATACCGTCGCCCAGTTGTGGTACTTTGTGTAGTCATGGGCTTTCGTCACCCTCTTGTTGTCCATCTGATCCTCCACAGCATCCTGAAGATTTTCAAACATGACCCTGCAAAGACCACCAGCTAATAAATCCCAAGAATATCAAAAATTACCTTATTTTGAGGGGAAATTCCCCTTGTCTTTCTTTGAAGTAGAGTACTTTTGGACTGCCATGTCATTATACCGTATGAAGCAACTCATTTGCTGTGTTGTTCGTTTCAAAGTCTAAGGCGACTTACATGTTTGTCAAATACTTACTTAGCTTCCATGCCACTCTGCTGTAAAATGGTGAAGACCATGTCAAGCTGGGCTGCAGGAACATGAATGTCAACCTTCATGCCAACGGTCACAAGGTCAGGACTGTCAGGTTTCCAGAAATCCACCTGAGGGTGCAGCAGAGTCATTGTTTAAAACAAAAACCATTCATGATTTCAAGCAATGTCTCAAAAAGTGCATTGAATTAAACATTTATCAGTAATACTTGGTTTAATGTGGCATTTATTGTCCAGATATTTTTGTTTAAATTGCATAGGGGTGAATTAAGGTTGATTGGAACAATTTTTGCCTTTGAGATGACTGGGAAAAAGTGTCCCAATCAGCCTGAATTCACCCTAATGGGTACTTGCTACATGCATGGATCTCAGATCGTTCTGCATGCTCTTTTTTTCACAAGTAAATGCGTGCCATATATGTTTTTCTATAATGTTTGACAAGTGGAGTTATTTCTAATTGTTTAATGACCTTCATCAATGGAAATATTGATGCCATTATACTTGTATCTTGAGGTATATTCATTTCATAGAGAGATTTGTTGTATTGGAAGACGTGGTAACATTGCATTCAATTTTGGGTTACAGTTCTTGTAATTATATTATTCAACTATAAATCAACAGATAAAGTAACAGACATTCACTTTTTAAGCATTAGATTTTATGCTTGCTGATAGTGCCACCTGGTGGCCAAGGTTGGTCCCACATGGAAATGTTTTTAAGGACAAAAAGGTAAAATTTTGACAGAGATTTGTTTTAATCTTGCTGTTCAGGGCTTCTGTGCAAAGTATGAATACATGAAATAAAAGAAACAATATTTTCTATAATAAATAAGAGTTTACATTTTACCTTGACTTTTTGTCCCAGTTCCTTGATGGTTGTCACTTGCTCGTCATTTGCAGGTGTCAGGCGGATGACTTTATCGCTAGGAAAGTGTGGAGAGAGATATGCTTTACCATATTGGATATTAGTTCCACATAGTGTAATCTTTTTTGGTTCAACAGAGAAAAGTGTTTAAGAATTTACCCCACAAATCTGGTTGGCTCACAGAGAGCGACAGCCACCAATCCCAAGAGCAAAAGGATCTTCATTTTGCCTGTGTGTTTTTTGCTCCGCACACAGATCTCTTTTTATAATGTCAGGCCATCAAGGACCGCCCAATACTGACCTCCAGAATGCCTTCATATGTATCAATTATTAGTCACCTTTTGCACATGCTGTTCAAGATATTTTTAGCTATATATGATTTGAGGTGACAACAGCTTCAAATGCACCTCTTTCAATCATTAACCTGTTAAAAGACTGTCGCCTAAATGTTCACTAAGAGAAGAAAACCTTAACAGGAGACCATCGTTCTAAAAAATTATAATATTCATTTATTTAACTGTTCCCAAATATAAATGTACTGCTGTTTGAATGTGAATACAAAATTGTCCATGGAATGTGCATATAAAAAAAAATAGAGAAAAAAAAAGAAATATACAAAACATTATTTTCTACTAATGTAGTAGACTATGGAGTGCCGCAAGGATCGGTGTTAGGCCCTCTGCTATTCTCAATATATGCTGCCACTTGGTAATAATATAAGAAAACATGGAATTAATTTCCACTGTTATGCTGATGACACTCAATTATATATTTCATCACGGCCAGATGAAAACACCAACTTATCTAAATTGACAGAGTGTCTTAAAGATATAAAATGCTGGATGACGTGTAATTTCCTGCTATTAAATTCAGATAAAACGGAGGTATTTCTTATTGGTCCAAAAAACTACCCACAAAACCTCTTACAATATAACTTTAATTTAGAAGGATGTCCTGTTACTTTATCCACTACAGTAAAAGTCCTGGGTGTTATACTAGACCGCAACTTGTCTTTCGAAAATCATATTTCATATGTTACAAGAAGAGCCTTAACATTGCTAAGTTACTTAACATGCTATCTCTTTCTGATGGAGAAAAGTTAGTTCATGCATTCATGACCTCGAGACTAGATTACTGTAATGCTTTATTAGCTGGTTGTCCTGCATCCTCAATAAACAAGCTACAGTTAGTGCAAAATGCAGCTGCTAGATTTCTTACTAGGTCAAGAAAATATGATCATATAACACCAATTTTATCATCTCTACACTGGTTACCTATTAAGTTCTGTATCAGTTACAAAGTATTACTACTGACCTATAAAGCCCTAAATGGTTTAGCTCCTGTGTATTTAATGGACCTTCTATCGCCCTTCAATCCATCGCGTTCTTTAAGATCACTACATTCGAGGCTTCTGGTCATTCCTAGGATATCTAAGTCCACTAAAGGAGGGAGGGAGTTCTCACATTTAGCTCCTAAACTCTGGAATAGCCTTCCTGATATTGTTCGAGGCTCAGACTCGCTGTCCCAGTTTAAAACTAGATTAAAGACACATCTCTTCAGCCAAGCATTCACATGATGCTTACCTTTTATACCACTGTTGAATCAGATCGAATGCATTAATATTATGAACAGCAGCTATGCTAATTATTTCCCATCTGCGTTTCTGCTGTTATCGTATCGGTAAATAGCGTTCGTCAGCTCCAGTTTGAATTGAATTGAATTGAATTAATGTTACAACTTAAAAAATGATATTGCCAAACAAAAATATTCGACAGACAATCTGAAACAAGGTTTTTTTTTTTTATGTTCAGTGTATATGCTTTACATTCACATCTAGAATTAGTAAATACCTTAAAAACAGTTATCAACTCATTTTCTTATCCACAAAAAAAGTGTATAAACATTATAGTTGCAGTAAAGAACTATAGTCCCTTTATATTTGTTTTTTCGCACGTTCACACTTTATATTAGGGTCCAATTCTCACTAATAACTACGACCTTTGCCTCAGTAAACTCATAATTACTGCTTATTAATAGTCAGTAAGGTAGTTGGTAAGTTTAGGTCTTGGGTAGGATTAAGGGATGTAGAATATGGTCATGCAGAATAAGGCATTAATATGTGCTTTATAAGTATTAGTAAACAGCCAATAATTAATATGTGTGAGAGATTTCTTTTTTTTTAATTAACCACAACTAACATTTATTTTTCTTGCAGGGTTAACATTTGACATTTGAGAAAACAAAACAAAATACCAACACTTTAGTCAAGCTAGACAGTTATTTAAATATAATAGCCACATGACATTGAGTAATCAACAAACTAATAATCATATGACTTGGGTGTAGGTCTAAATTTGCTTTATCCGTAACAGAGAATGAATTTGCACATATGTAGAATCAATCATATCAGAGATAAATGATGTGATGATGATTATGATGATGATGAGTAATATGTCATGTTAACTGTACTATGTACAAACTGTTGTATTATTTTTGCTGGTGGGAGTCTCTGGCTACAATGTGAAAACATGTACATACACAATAAGTGCATTGTATCAAATAATGCATTTAAATGGTACTACATCGTAATTAAAGACAATTAATATAAAGTGGGACTTCAAATATAATTTTTAATATCTCACATTACTGTTCATATGTCATAAGTTAAATATATCTTATATCTTGGTTTAAGTAAAAGTAGACCTTATTTAAAGCATAGAAAGCAGAGTAACCAAGACAATTATGTATATGTTAGCACCTATACATATACATATTTTGGCAATATGCAATACCCTTTATATTATTTATTTAGTTAGTTATTTTAAATTAGTGTTTTATGTGGTCTGTTATTGGGAATAGAAATTATTACAGAAAATCTTATTTTTTTTATTTTTATTTTTATTTTGCATGAGCACACATGAAACATTATTTATAATATGGTCACGATATAGTCATGAATGTGATATGGTCAAGTTTCCAGATCACTTAAAGAGATAGTTAAGTGAAAAAAAAAATTGTCATCAATTACTCGACTTCCCGTTCATCTTCGAAACACAAATGAAGAAATAATAAAGAGTGAATAAGAGCCTACATTCAATCTGTTCATCATATAAAGTGATCCAGTCTCTTCAGAAAATTTGGACTAAACCAATCGTTTCATATTACTCTCTCTTTATGAACTTTAAGCGTCAAATGGATAGTTGTGTAGCTGTCAATGGAGGGACAGAAATCTCTCAGATTTCATTAAAAATATCTTAATTTGTCTGTGCTGCGCGGGGTGTAAATTCCTTATCGCGGTGTTTTTTGGATGTAAGGAATGGTTCAATTAAAAAAATAAAGATATTCCAAGGCACTCGAAAAATGTTGAAAAAGTTAAAAAGCCTTTATTTCATCATGGTAACAAACAAGTTCATTTTGAGCAGCAGTTCATTAGTCATATAACAATCACCTGGTATCACCAAGGCAACCTGTAGAGAGAAAGTTCAAAGAATATGTAGAGAACATGTCTCACACAATATAAAGTTAAGTTATATATATATACAGTATTTATATCATAATATTTCAGTGTATGTACTCAAATTCCAATTTAATTGAATTATTCTATGATTAATCGATGCATTCTCAGTGTTGACACAAGGGGCGCTATAGTGGGTATTAGAATAAACGAGTAGTGAGATCAACTGCAGTCATGACAGAGCAATTTGAAGATAATCTTGCTGAGTAAGTTAGTTAAAATCAAGGGTAATCCATCAGCCGGAAGTTGAAGCTGCCTCCGGGGGCCGCCATTGTGGCTGGCTATCACCTGCTGTTAGCATCCCATTGACTCCCATTAATTTTGGCGTCACTTTGACAGCGAATAACTTTACATCTGAGGCGTCCAAAGACTCCATTTGTCCATTATTTATTTCTAAAGAAACACGACAATGTATAAAAAAGGCTCCATTACTTTGTATCTTACGTTATGGCCCCGTAGAAGCCATTCTTGTAAAAATAGGCTAATGATTGCGTCATAACCACGGGACGCTCTGTCGCACAGTAGAGACATTACCGTATAGACAGAAGTAGAAGCTCGTAGGCAATCATTTACTGTCTATGAGGCAATCGGGTGGACATGGAGACATAAAGTCAAGGGAGAAGCCCATAGATAGAGAGTTCATAAAAGCAACGGGACAAAATATTTCAACAACAGATTTGTTTCAGATTTCAATTCAGATTTGTCCCGGCACAGCTACTAAAAGGTCAGAACGGTTGCTCACGTGACAACTACGTCGTCAAGCTCAGTTTGAGCCTGTGCAGAACGCTTGGCTATCAGGAAGTGAGTGCCCATGTTGGGCTTCAACTCTCTCCGTTGAAATCAACGGGGTCGCTGTGTCCATTTCTTTTACTGTCTATGGTTAAAATCAACATGTCTATAACTACAGTAGCCCCTTGTGGAAAAGTGTATTGAATGTGCATATGAGGTCTTAATGCACTTGCAGATATCAATGGAATAAAAGGCCACTTAAGTGTACTTAAAGAGGGTACACTTCCAAGACTTTTTTACTTACACTTTTAAAAAGTGCACTTTGATATATAATATGACACACACACACTGTATATATATATACATAACATAGCCTACAAGTTTCAATAGAAATGACATTAAAGTATATTTATTAAGTTTATCATAAATACACTTACAGTACATTCAAAAGCAGACTTTAACCATATTTTAACATCAGAATTTTGCAAGAATCATGCAATTAACTGTACGAAAACATGAAATTCAGTTTGCACTGAAGTATATTCTCCTAAAATATACTATTTCTGTAATATGTATTCTAGTATGCTGATGTGTACTTGCTTTTTTCACAAGGGACTACCTGCAGGATAACACATCTTTGTGAAAAGTCTAAAGGCACAGACATTTGAGCTCTATTATTCTAAGTTCTGAGAACTGTTACTGATACAGTAACATAACTAACTAGCATTGTGCTTTGGCAGTACCTTAAAATCCCCAAAACACAGAAAAATACAACATTTCAGCAATGCCTTTTCCATCTAAGATGTCTTAACAGTGGGTGTTAGATCATTCTTGTTGCTTGTTGGATTGAGCAGTCCAGAGGTACATTGGGAATGGACATTCATCTTTGAGCTAATGCTAAAGTGACTGCTAGTTTGTCCAGACCCACAGCCTAGCAACCTCAGTAGGTTCTTGCGAAAGTTCTGTCCAACAAAGCTATAAAGAATGGGGTTTACACAACTGTTTAAATAGGAGATGCAGATGGTAAATGGCATGGCTGTGTCAATAACATCCAGTGTTTGGCAGTTTTCCACCACGCCAAGCATGGCCAGCAGCTCCATGAAGTGGAAAGCTTGGTGAGGAGCCCAGCAAACAAAGAACGCTAGCACAGTAGCGGCTATCATCCGCAATGTTTCATCCTCCCGAGAGCGAACGCTTTTCCTCAACACACCCCTGGAATCCAGTAGTGCGCGACCGATGAGGCAATAGCAGGTGATTATGACGAGGAACGGCACGAGAAAACCTAGAACGCTTTTTAGCACGCTAAGGGTAACTAAGAAGTGTATCTGCTCACTGTGGTGCCACACAGCGCACAAAGTCGAGTTCCCATAGTCATACACACTCCTGCTTAGCGCTGTAGGTGCACTGAGGAGCAAGGCAAACAGCCATATGAGTACACACGTGAGGTTAGCGTAGAGAAGTGTGCGCTGCCGTCTGGAGCGCACCGGATGCACGATAGCAAGATATCGGTCAATGCTAAGAGCGGTGAGGAAGAATATGCTAGTGTAGATGTTGAAGATGACCAGTCCTGCGCTTGCCTTGCACAGAAAGGTGCCGAACGGCCAGTGGTAACCCGTGGCTGTGAAAGTGGCCCACAATGGCAGCGTAATGAGGAAGGTAAGGTCTGATATAGCTAGATTGAGCACAAAGACGTTCGCTACTGTTGTTAGCTTCATGTAGCGGTAGAGGACAGCCACCACCATGCTATTACCAATGACCCCTATGACAAAATTGCATCCATAGACGACGGGAATGAAGGTGAAGATGAAGCCGTGTCTTCCAGACATACTGCAGTTCACGTGGAACCGCTCACTCATTCCTGAGGTTTTGTTCTCCATTTTTCGCTCCACTGTTGTTGCTTATGTGACAACGAATGGGTTCCGCTATCCACAGGGTATATGTCTTAAGTAGCCAACACCAGATTTGGGGTAAATGCCTCCTGACACCTATAAAAGAGAGCAACGAAAACTGTCAGAGGAAGAGGCATCGTTAGCACAGCCACAGGCCGTAAACATCGGCATGAAAGAGCTCCTGCTACGCCCCCTTATTAAGCTCTGCACATTAAATCTGTCTTCTCTGATCATGCTACTTCTGCTATCAAAAACAGATGCTTCATGGCTAAGCATTCAACATTTGAAACAACACTGATCTGACCACCTGGAACCCCTTTAAAACGCTCTCTTAGTTAATGTGGTGACACTGAAATTGTAATGCGTTTATCAGAAGGTTCTCAGTCATGGAAACATGAAAAAAGTTCAGGGAATCTATCTATCCATCCATCCGCATATCTATCGTTCTATCTGTCGTACTATCCATCCATCTATCTATCTGCATATCCATCCATCCATCCATCCATCCATCCATCCATCCATCCATCCATCTATCTATCATTCTATATATCGTTCTGTCTGTCTGTCTGTCTATCTATCTATCTATCGTACTATCCATCATTATATCCATCGTCCTATCTTTCTATCTTTAGTTATAATTGCCGTTAGATCTGTCGTACCATCCATCCATCTATCTATCATTCTATATATCGTTCTGTCTGTCTGTCTGTCTATCTATCTATCTATCGTACTATCGTACTATCCATCATTATATCCATCGTCCTATCGTTCTATCTATAGTTATAATTGCCGTTAGATCTGTCGTACCATCCATCCATCCATTTATCTATCTTTCTATCTTTCGTACTATCTATCTAACATTCTATCATTCTGTCTATCATTCTATATCTGTCGTACCAATCATCCATCCATCCATCATAAGGACTATAAACGTTTGTTCTAATATTCAAAGTTTGTCTTGACCGCCTCCACTTTCTGCTTAAATGTTACAGTCATATGAATGTCTTTCAAATTCAGTTTATTTTCATTTCTGTACATTCACATTTGAAATGCAAATTCAGAAACTAAATTGGAGTATAATAGGCATTGTCAATTTGATTTTCATTCAATTCTGAGACCTTCAAGGCTACTATAAGTTCAGAGATATTAATTTACATTTTAGTGAAACTGCTTTTTCCATTTTCTCATAAAATTAGGTTTTTTTTTTTTTTTTTTTTGACTTTCACTCAGTAGACTGGGTCAAGATGTGAAAATAATATACATTGTTATGTCAAATATTTGGAATATATACTGGAAAATGTAAACTTCACAATAAATGAATGAATTGAGATAGTTTTAAACTTGATTTTCTCTTTTGTATTCATTTTGCACATCACAGATTTATTTATATTCTGTTGTATTATGATGGTGGTTGGTTTTTAGGGTTGAATAATAATGCCACATATAATTTGTTAGATTCATACAACAAGTTACTACTGTATTAGCTACTACAATCTCTGTGCTCAGTGAACATGCTTTTCTAACTACAGCATTCATTGATGGAGGAGATAGAAAGAGAGAGAGAAAAGTGCTTTAGAGCATTGTTGAGTTGTTATGTTCCATACACACTGTGCTGAAAGGAGCTCAGCATGAGAATTTCTAATCAGCGCACACCTAAATAAACAGGTCACAGGGGTCTAGGCTGTGGAAAGTGCCTGTGAGAAAACCAAACCTGTTTACTCTTAAAAAATGAGTGTGCTGCTTCCAGGATAGAATCAGGAAAAATGGTCCATTTTGAACATTGTTTATAAATGTCCAACGCTTTAATAATAAAATGCTTTCTACATCACAAATGTAATGTAGGCCTCAGTTGACCACAAGGGGGCACACTAAAGTGTTTTTCTTTATGGTTTCAGCTGCAAAAATAAAGCAAAAATCTGAATTTAGTAAAGTATGCCCTTTCAATGATTTCAACCCCACGGGATTGATTTCATTTTGAATCACAATGAACAGTTCTGACCGCAGTTCAAATTCAGGAACTAAACTGGAATTTAAGTTTAATTTAAATCAATTCTGAAAGAATCATCATCCTGCATGCGTCCATACAATTCTTCATTTACACACCTCACATTTTAGAGTTTCATTTAGTGAACTTGGGTTTCTTTGGTTTCACAGGCGAGACATTTTAAAAAGTGTGCATTCTTCTGCAAAAGCACCAGCCATATCAGTTACAGATGTGGTGGTGTTCATTGCTAAAGAAAGAGCACAACGTCGGGGTGCCAAGGGTAACAGGATAATGAAATATCACCCCTGCATTTCTCCTCCTCAGGCCCGCAAGATGCAATAAAGCAGTTCCGCACATGTCACCATTTGATTTAGCCCTTTTTTCTTTTTTAAATGAGTGTAACAGTAGGCGGCTGTAAGTTGACTGTACAGGGAACACATGAACTAAATGTGCAAGACTAACCCACTTTTAGTTGTGCATGTGTTATGCTGCATCTCTGGATACAATGAAATACTCGCAACAAATATGCATGTAAAGACAAGAGCAAGCTACTCTTAAGCTAGATAATAATTACTCTTAATTGTTCCTCCCAGACAGCATTTACAGTAAATGGACAGCAAATGGAAACTTTAAATGGAGACGGTAAAAGGCAGAAATTACTTTTACATTAGTTTGCCAAATGACATTAAATATGCCATTTACTCTGAAGTGCTCTGAAGAGCCTTGGTGTTTTCCCCATTGTATTGTACAGTTGCTACATTATGTATTTGTACATATAGAGATTTTATTTTATTTTTTCAAGCATGTATCGCTGAAACCCTATTGTAATTGTTAGAATTTCCAAGGATCCGCATTCTCCTCTAAAAGAGATCGGGCAGACCAAACCGTAAGTCGGAAAGACTTGATACTTGAGGGATTATAGTACAGTACCCACCCCGTCTACGTCACCAAAGCTCGCCCCAATCGGCCTGATGGTGGCGCTACAGCGATCAGTACGTAATGGCTCATAACTCCTAACCTGTTTGTTGCAGGCTCAAGTGTCTTTTATCATTGGAATCCTCGGCTCAAGACAAACTTTGCATTCAAGTTCTAGGTTTTTGCCTGATTGGAACCAAAACACGTGAAAAAAACCTATACCAGCATGTATTTACAAATGTACATTTATTTACTAATGCATAGGCTACTACAAATCCATTAATATATTTAAGGACATATCGCTTGAGACTTACTGATATAATTATAATTAAACTTTATCTGGAGTACTTATTTATTGCACAATGCACATTTCTTAATATTTAGCCTTAAAATTAGTTTGATAACACTATTAGTAAGAATATTATGATCTGTATAATACCAGTCTTTAAATGTAAGATATTTAAAGTGTACCTAAAGTATACTTGCAATTGTTCCACTTTAGCACAATCAAATATAGCCTACTTGAGTACAGTATATCTTTAATTGGACCTCAGCAATATTTCTGGATAACTAAAGTATATTAAATACACAATTACTTGTTCCAATTTAGCAGACTTTAAGTAGTATAACAGTTTAGTATACTAAATGTATTGCAGGGTATTTACATATCGCCTATTAAGTAGGCCTACATAAATATGTAAATGTATTTGTAGTATACTTAGCATAACATAAATGTATTTCAAATACATTTTAGTATAGCCTCTCTGGAGTCTGATTGTCAATAATTATCAAAAAAGTCGAAATTTCGAATGACGTCCGTGACGGAACACCAAACACTTTTACTAAAATGGCTATCCCTCCTGAACAGAGTGAGATAATTCAACACAGTCTCATGAAAGTGCGTATCTATACCACGAATGTCATTTCTCGTGCCATTTATACGCCAAAAATGGTTTTTGCGTGCATATGCTACGCACTGAAAACCCCGTGGGTAGGTTTAGGGGGGAGGGGGTGGGGAGTGCGTGCGTATTACACGCCATAAAGTGCGTATCATATGCACACGGAAACTGCGTATCAAATAGACGCAAAAACTACTTTTGGCGTATAAATTGCACGAGAAATAACATTCGTTGTATAGATACGCACTTTTTCCTGAGATCACCAAACTCAGTACACACATGGGCTCGTTTGGATGTGGTCGCGTGACCACATCCAGTTGGAACTGGGCTATTGGTGAGGCTATAGAATAAAATAAAAACAGAAAAACGGCTATAGCTACGCAACAGTCAGTCCGATTGACTTGAAAATTGGCATGTAGTGTCTTTGTCCACGGTGCTTAGATTGTCTACGAGGACATTTGCATATCTTGAAAAACGCTGCCACCGTCGGTCAAAGAATGCGGGTGGATTTCAGTGTCGGCGTGTAACAGTCACTCCTAACCCCTACGGTGGCCCAGTAGTGCACAACACAACGAAATTTAAAAAGCAAACATAAGTTCACAACACAACGAAATTAAGCCACAACACAACGAAATTAAGCCACAACACAACGGAAAATGTACAACACAACGGAAATAAGCCACAACACAACGGAAAATGTACAACACAACGAAATAAGGCCGCAACACAACGGAAATGCTCCCAACCACTGGGTTCTCGGAGCGCGATAAAGTTAGTTTTCCTTGCCACTGTTCTATAGAGTCAGCACTCATTCAGCAGTCTAAAAAATATCAACACCACGATTAGTTTTAACAGTATAGCTAAACATTGTAACTACATTTATTAATTCAAAATCACCTACGTGCATTATAGCTGCATATTTACAATCTAATGCTTTGACGCGCTACCACAGCGTAACCCTAAGGGAACATCTGCCAATTCCTTCAAATTGTTTAAACGTATAATTTGTATGAATTAAAATTACTTTTAACATTCAAAAACATACATGTTCAAAATCCAAAGCTTGATTGTATTGGTAGTAGACTGACTTACTACAGCTGACTGTTTGTCCAATACCTCCCTTCATGTATATAGCCTACAGTAAACAAATATATTTTTAGGAAATTTCTGTAAAAGTTATTTTTTTTTTTTTTTTTATCAGGTTTCAAAGGTTGTAGTTCCTATTAACCTTAAAACAGGTGAAA